CTCGCACAAGCCATGGACTTGTCTCCACCTGGATTTTGCGGGACCATTCCAGGAACAGACCTTCTTTATTCTGGTAGATTCCTACTCTAAGTGGCTAGAGGTGGTCCCTGTCTCCTCCACATCATCTAGAGCTGCGATCAAAGCCATGTGGAATATCTTTAGCACCCATGGCATCCCCGACACTCTGGTGTCAGACAATGGAACTGCATTTACGTCAGCAGAGTTCCTGGAGTTTGTGCAGTATTACAGGGTTAGACATGTCCGCTCTGCTCCTTTTCACCCAGCCACCAATGGACAGGTGGAGTGGATGGTACGAAGTACCAAGGAGGCGCTGTGTCAGATTGTCCAGGGGGACTGAGAGTATTGGCTAACCGCCTTCTTGTTTTTCCAACGGACGACCACGCACACTGCCACGGGACGCTGCCCCACTGAACTATTAATGGGCCGGTGACTGCCGACCCAGCTGGACCGGCTTCACCCGGACCGGGCACCCGACCACAACCTAGGCCTGGTAAACCAGGAAGCACCCCGGGGATTTTATCCAGAGGATCCAGTGTATGCCTGAAACTACTCCCGGGGCAAACCCTGGATCCCCACCCGGGTGGTTAGAGTAATGGGACAGCTCTAATATGAGGTCTCAACGGAAGATGGCCAGCTCATCCAGAGGCACATAGATCAACTGTGCCAGCGCCTGCTGCCCTTGAGGACCAAGAGGTACGAGACGTCGAGGACAGCGAGGAGGAGCCAGACCTGGAAGAACCCGTGCTGAGGCCAGCTGAGGCCAACACCGCTCCAGCGCCTGTTCCAAGTTTCGCTACAGGGCCCAGCACCGGACTGGCCCCAGAACCCAGGACCACACCAACCGTCGCCTCCGAGCCACCACATCTCGGGTCAGCCACACTGATCTGCTCCCCGCCGCTCCATGGGAGAACGGCGGTGCCCTGAGTACTTGCGGGACTTTGTATGCTAGTACTTCGGAACTAAGGGGGAAGGGGTGTTATGTATTAAGATGGTCGCTACCGTGTGCACCCAGCCATGCGGTCTACTGGACTCACAGACCTTCGGGTCTAGAACAATAGCCCCTGCGGATCCTAGCAAGAACCAATGGGAGCGCTAGGATCCGGAAGAGAACCTATCATTGCTGGGGCCCTGTACATAGAACCTATCACAGGAATCGGGGGTGTGTTGGGTGTGAGTGTGTGAACTAATATAAGCCAGCCTCGCACCGGCTAAGTTGTCTTTGATTGCTACGATGTAATTAATAAATGTGAGCTGATTTCACTATGCTACGCCTGGAACTCCACTACTTTTTACTCACATTATCAAGACCTTCTAATAGAAGGATGAAGGTTGGCCAACAAAAACACTGAGAGATGCAAACACAATGGTTCAACAAATGTCTTTCATTTTGAAAGTATATTAAAGCAAAACAAAGATTAGTTAATGCATATGTTTCAGGAAAGGCTCCACCTATCCCACTCAATCTTTACTATACAACTTTTGCAAGCTAGTTGGAACGCCCTGCTTTCTAAAGCAAGAGCATTGTTTAGTTTTTTAAAAATGGGATAACATCCTGTCATTAGAAATTGCTTTCAGGTTGTGTCTCTTAAATACAACAACAAATGTTCTTGGGAGGAAAGGCTAGATGGAATCTTGGCAATCTGGAGTCACTTTTTATTGTTGGCTGAGGACTTTTCCAAAACACTACAAAAGGTATATATGAGGCACATGAAGATTTAAAAGGATTATTTTGTAATGGTATCTTAACATTTGAGTCACAGTTTCCCTGAGGTCACGTCACTCTAGATTCATGTAGTACAAAGCTACTGGTGTATATAAGAAGTCTGAGTTGCTGTTTATATTTTATATGTTGAAGCCATTCTTCATTCCTTCATTCCTGGGTGTGCAGGTAAAGGAAAATGCAGAGGAAGTTTTTCTAACTTTAGACTGCAGGGAAAAAACATGCATTTTGAAATGTCCCCTCTTCGGGAATACATTGTCCATAAGTTATTCAAAATGCCTTCCTTTTAAAGTCGCTGCTGTGATTGTTACTCCTGGAACAGCTGAGAACTATAAAATGCTGAGGTGAGAACTATAAAATGCTTAGTCAATGACTAGTTTTATCATAGTTTAGTACCACTTTAGCAATTGCTTGGATTCTCTAGATTTATTTTTATAGCACTGTGGGTTGCATCCTATGAAGCACAAGCAGAAGGCACTTGCAGATGTGGATGTTTCCTGTCTCTCCTTTTTCACAACAACCCATGACATTTCCAAACAGCTGATGCTGGAAATTGTGGGGTGTACATGGGCAAAACGCAGAGCTGGCAGCCTATGGGCCATGTGGCTTTTGTCCACAGAGACCCTAGGATCTTCAGCATTAGGTCTTTGGAAGCCAAAGGAAAATCTGAGAAGATCTGAATCTGTAAGTGCCTGTGTGGGTCAGAGGGTCCAAACATAAGCATTTAGTGACAGTGAAAAGTACTGAGACTTACTTAGTGAATTCAGCTCTCATACTTTATTCGGAGAAGAACAAAGACAAAGTAGCCGGCTCGCAGGCTGGCTTATATGCCCCAAGGAAAACACACCCACACACACCCCACACCCGTGAATGGTCTATTTACACTGATTAGATTATTCCTGGGGAGCCTAGGTTCCCGATTGGCTGGGAACTAGGACCCGAACATCTATTGTGTTTGGGAGCGAAGCTCAGGTACCTCACCTGACCGCATGTGGAACCGGCCGAAACTGGATTGAGCACATGGCTAGGTCAGGACACAACAGACAGTTTGTAATCTTGGTATAAAAAGTGTGCCTCCTTCCCAGTTTTAAATACTTAGTACTAAATACTAATACTTAAAACAGGCAGAAGCAGTGCCAAGAGAAGGGTCACACACTAAATACACAAGCTTTAGAAGAAGCGCATGTATTTTTAGTTGGATTTTTAGTTTTACTTCTCTGATATGAGGGGACATGTGAGGAAGAAACTGAAAGGAAAAATAGAAAGGGTCAAAACCATGGTGGAAGCTTGGAGACTATTTAAAACTACAATCCTAGAAGCTCAGAAAAAAATATATACAGCAGGTTAGGAAAGGCACAAATAGGTATAGAAAAAAGCCTGCATGGTTAACAAACAAAGTAATGGAAGCTGTAAAAGGTAAGAAGGATTTCTTTAAGCTGTGGAAAGCTAGTCTCAGTGAGGATGATAAAAGGGAACACAGGCTGTGGCAAATAAAATGCACCTCTGTGATCAGGCAGGCAAAAGGGGAATATGAGGAGCACATAGCAAAAAATATCAAGACCAACAATAAAACTTTCTTCAAATACATTAGAAGCAGGAAACCAGCCATGGAGGCAGTGGGACCCTTGGATGACCAAGGGGTAAAAGGAGTACTGAAGGATGATGGGGAAATGGCTGAGAAGCTGAATGCATTTTTTGCTTCTGTCTTCACTGTGGAAGATGAGAAGTGCTTGCCCACTCCAGAACTGCTGATTTTGGGAGGGGTGTTGAAAGACCTAAGTCAGATTGAGGTGATGAGAGAGGAGGTCCTAAAACTGATAGACAACTTAAAAACGGATAAATCACCAGGCCTGGATGGCATACATCCAAGAGTTCTGAAAGAACTCAAATGTGGAC